ATGCTGTACACATCTTCAAACAGAGCAATTAATTTCAAATGTTGATCATCTGAATAGTTATAAATCACTGTAGTAACGGTCTAGCCCAAGACAAAAAGCTAAACTTAGCTACCATGTAACCTATTCTGCAACGCAATAGTTTTATAAGTTATAGACATCACACAATTTTTTGTAATTCTGTAAAATAATACAGCAGGATTAACTGAGTACTCTTAAGAGGCTCATTATATGTCTTTTCAACACTTTAGTTCTAAATATTGTATGCTGAAACACATTGATTGTCTCAAAATGCCTCTAGCATGCATTTGCATGATCTCTCTTTTAGAAAAACATCTCACACTATTCCCTCAGCTTTTAATATGGGCAGGCCAGTTATGCAAGGCCTGAATTAATTTATTTGGTAGTATCTCATTTTAAAAAAGCCAAAATATGTGTGTAACCAGTAATTTGCAACAGTCATGTCAGATGTAGATTATGATCCATTATGGAGCAATAAGCATTGAAAGTATATGTATCCTGAATAATTTCAAGCTCATCTCAAGACTCAAGGAATATGATCAAGCATAATCTCATTATACATATAGCTTTATAGAAGCACATCTGTTGTAATCATTAAAACTGAAAAACAACTTTGCAAATACTCTAGGAGAGAGAAAAAAACTATTTTTAAAAAGACATGTCACATGATTCTGGAAAGCTCTGTCAGCAAAACTCCTTCCTTTCCTGAACTGGCTCCATCAACCCAATCCCAGACTAAATTAAACCAAAAAGGTTTTCTCTTTCCATTGACTTCTGGGTCAGTTTGCGAAGAAGCAGAGATTTAATGTGGCACTCAAACCACTTTCACCCTATATGGCATTTCATAATCTAGAAATTTACAGCTGCCCATATTCTGAGCTGATCTAAAGCTCCTCCCAGCCCCACCCAACTGTGGATAGGTATGCCATCCACACCTTCTGCCTTCCTTGCCTTGTGCTGTATCACCAGAAGGACTACCTAAGATGCTCATTCTCAAGTACAGGTAATTGCTCCGTTTTATCTTGCATGCCTCCACTCAGAAGACCAAATGCTTTAGCACCAAAAATCTCCACTGACTCCAATAACCAGCTGGCACAAAAATGAGCTTAGTTTTAAGACAACTGATGTATCTAATGAAATTCAGATGAAAACTCACAACATCACTCTGAAATGTTGCTTTAAAGAAAAACAGTCTCACCCTAAACAAAGAATTTTGCATGTTAAAATCATGAAAAACTCCACTAATGTACAATTGCAAAATGAATAAAAAGAGGATATATTAAACAGCAGCAACCACAGAAAGCCTGTCATTTGTATAGGCTAACAAACTACCATATGATATACGAGTACTACTCTGGTAGTATTCAATTATGTGTCTTCACATGATTTTCAATGCAAGATATCCATAGGTTGTTTAATTAAGGTGTAGCTGACACAAAGACATTGTACAAAAAAACGAAAGCAATTATATGCTTAATTAACACTGAGTATTAATGAACAGCCTTAGCCTATTTATCTTTCAGTGTGACGGGCCATTTCAGTGCTTCGTATTTTAAATTTGTGCAATAGGATCTCCTGGGAAATCAGCCACCTTTCTATGAGAAAACCTAGTAAACAGTGTAATAGAGGAAAAAAGAGCAGGTTGTTATCTAGAGAGGCATCAAAAATGAAGCAACCAATTGGTGGTAACAAGGAGAAAAGGACAGCAATAAATACTGCTAAGACATTTCAGAAATACAAAGAGGATATAAATCTCACTTTACAGATATGTGTGTAGCTTCTTTTCAAATTAGATAAAATACAGCAGAGACACACACAAGAGGATGATTTTTAGCAAGGATGCTTGCTACAGTTCATGAAAGCACTTGATGTCAAACCAATGTTACTTAACAATGAAGTAAAGCCCATGAAAGCAGCAGCTTGGTATCACAGCTTCAGACATGCATTCTTTTCACTGTGAAGCAGAGAGCTACAACATAAAAGGCCCTTCCAGTGATGTCTAAGGAAAACAGCCCAATTCCCTGTGCCATACACAAGCACTGGCAAATGCTACAGGAGAACTACAATCAACTGCTTAAAAGCAATCCAGAAGAAAGAATTAATCTAGTATAAAGCCACGTGTAATGAGTTTGTCAGCTTTAAAAGACTACAAAGGCATCACAAATCTCTTTTAAGAGCAACTGTACATACTGAAAATTCTGCCTGTAATAATGCAGCAAAAGCAAGATGTATTCAGTGATTTTGTGCTCCTCCTGCTTTTACAATTACAGTGGTGCCTCGCTTAACGAGCGCCTCGTTTAACGACAAAATTGCATGGCGATTAGGTTTTTGCGATCGCAAAAGTGGTTGCATAACGATGTTTTGAATGGGAAAATCGCTTTGCAATGATCAGTAAGCTGTTTCGCTTACCGATTTCCACATAGCGATTTTTTCCAACAGCTAATTGGCGGTTCCAAAATGGCCACCAAAAAAATGGCCGCCCACTCTTATTTGGGATGGATTCCTCACTTAGCGGGCAGCGAAAATGGCTGCCGTATGGAGGATTTTCGCTTAAAGGTAAGTTTTTACCCCACTGGAATGCATTGAAGGGGTTTCAATGCGTTTCAACGGGTTTTTTTAAATTGCATAGCAATGTTTTTTGTTAGCGGTGATTTTTGCTGCATCAATTGACATCGCTATGTGAGGCACCACTGTTTACATCCAACAACAGTGAGCCCCATATCTGAGAAAGACTCAAACACAGGTGGAGAAAACAGTAAGTCCCAAAAGAAGTTGAGCTGTGATTTACAATCTTAACAGCAATTAAAATGATCCAGTGCCTGTAATCTTTGTATGGATTCATATTGTATTTACACGAATGTACTTATGTGAAATCCTGTGCTTAGCATAATCAGTTCCAACTAGAGTAGGCCCACTGAGTCAATAAATTTACAGAGGAGTCGATTCACCAAATCCCCACTGAATCATTGGGCTTTCTCCAGCAGTGACTAAACAACAGGATTTTAGCCATAGTCATAATAAAACTTTTTCAGTGATTTAGTCCAGGGTTTATGCAGTGTTTTGAACTTGCTGTCACCTTTTAAGCTTCACCATCTTCATGCTGTCAACGCAGGACTAGCTTCCTTTTCTCTGGAAAAAATATTGTGGAGGTCCTTGAATTGGGAATACACACACAAAAACTAGTACCTGGGATATTCATCTGACCAGCATGCTGGAAGATGACAAAAGATCTCTGATCCCTTCTTCTTAAAACTGAATTCAAGAAAATGTCTGTAGTTCCTTTATCTCGTAAGATTGGACCAATGGTTGTTGTACAACAACCCAAATACAAATCAGCACTTCTGTGTGTGGGAGTGGCGGTTTTCAACCCAGCAACATCTCCGAACGTGGAGCGTCTGTCTTATATTTTCCTGAGAAAGCATCACTCTACCTCCAAGCGTCCTATGCCCCCAACAAATGAATATCTCACCCTTGTACTGTATTGTTTTTTCACTTAAGATCTTATGTACCAAAAGAAGGGAAGTGATTCTTTATTCACAGGTACAACCAATGTCATCCAATTCCTCATATACGGATATGTATGCAACGTAAGATTAGGTAAATAGAATATATAACCAACACTATTCAAAGAAATATTAAAATTAGTAAAATGTATGAGAAGTCCCATCCACCTTCCTTATTTGTAAAAATGAATTCTGACCAAGTGGCTTTTGCTGTTACTCTACATAACGCCTGAATTTGTTTTCTATTTGCCTCTCATCCACCCCACTGCTTACTGACAGAACCGTTGCACTCTATAAAATGCCAATGACAAGCACAAATGCAAAAGTTATTCAGCCTGTCTCTGATAAAGTCTGAAAGAAGGGTTATAACACAATCCTGACCCTGCACTAAAACCAACACCCATCTATTTGCTTTATTGCTTTATCATCTAGTTTATTCCCAGGAAATTGGTCTGTGGGCAATTAAGATATATAAGCTGAATGCTTTCAGAATTATTTCTCAGAGAAAGTCAAATCGAAATTAGATCAGCCCAGCCTTTCAGGCTTCTACCTAGTTGCCTTTTGAGCAAGTGCATTGCTATACACAGACCATCTCTTCTTACACATCCTTTCCAGAACATCTCTAGACCATTCCCTGAAGCGGAATCTGCTTAAGAAGAATCTCTTTACTTATTGCTAGGGAAGCTTTCCCCCACCCCCACCCACCCCCCAAAAAACACAATCATGGACAGAAATGTTGTGGTAGCTAACACTGAAAGATCTGCAAAAGGGATGCCAAAAAGAGGGTGGTGTTTTTAAAAATAAAAATATTTTTAAATAAATAAGGATCCTGCTAGACCCAGAGATAAGCAGCTCAGTGCACCTCTTTTAGCTACAACGTGCTGTTTACTGGCTCTGTACATGCAGGAACATACAGCTCTCTTGGGTGGCTCTGCCCAATACTGTATAGAGGGGCCATAAATGCTCTACCAGTATAAAAGCCTGATCACAAAGCTGGAGAATGGACACTATAAAAGCAGAAGGCTGGTAGGAACAGATATGCTTAGTTAGAATTATCACGCTGTTTCAATGAGAAACCTTTCTGTAAGGCAACATGTATGTATCCTGGGTTTGTATTTGGTTATGCATCCTGAAGCTTAAGACTGGAGGAGGATTCTGGAAACGATATGTATAAATTATGGATAGATAATTATGTATTGTTATGGGTACATAATCGTTTAGCCTGGATATCATTAAAACGAATGCAAAATAGGAATCTACCTAACTGACCTATCCCTGAATAGGGATTTTCTTTTAACTTCGTCTCTCTTTTTATCTACCTGTATGGACGGTCAGAGCCGCATTCATCTTAAAGCACGAGGATGCCGAGGGGAGATATTCGGAAGGCGAGCATTCAGTCACAGCCGAAGGGTCAGCCGCTGCCGCCCTCCGGCTTGGTCTCCCGACCCCGACCCCCAACCCCAGAGCCTCTGCACTCACATGTCAGTGATTTTCTCCCCTTCGCCCCCCTTGCCCAAGGCGGGGAAAGACTTGAGGTCGGCCGCGGGTTCGCTGCACCAGATCCGCTCGGGGCTGCACTTGCACGAGGCGGGGCAGGCTGAGGCGAGCAGCCCCCGCCAGGCGAACAGAACAATAAGAGGAACAGACAGTTCTGTTTTATTTTATTTTAAACTTCCTCCAGCAACGGACCAGTTTATATGCCAAAGGCTTTTCCTTGCATACCAGCACAAGGGTAAGGCAGAGAGGCCCAACCTGGATTCCCATGGCGGGAAATTCTAATGCCTAGAAGCAATCACCAAAGAGGTCCATTGTTGGCCACACTATCAGGAAAAACTTCCTAACTGTTAGAGCAGTACAGCAATGGACCCAATTGCCACCACCACGTCCGCGGCCAGGCCCCCATGCTCATCCTCCTCCTGGTGGTGGTGGTGGTGGTGCCGCCCGTGGCCTCGTCCTCTTCGCCGCTCTCCTCTTCGCCTCGCCTTCGTCGCTCGGCTCCTTCCTCGCTTGCCTCCTTCCCTCCCTCCCGCCAAGCGCAGTCAATCCACCGCGTCTGCGCCCGAGCCAGTCAGTCACTCCGGCATCGTCCCCTCTTCTCGTCGGCGCGCAGGTCTCGTCCCTGTCAGGCAGCGGCTGCCTCCTCCTCCTCCTCCTCTCTCCTACCTCCAGGCGGCAACGGCGGCGCTCACTTTTCGGCGGCCGGTGTGGGAACCCCTCCTGGCGCAGCCAGTGCGAGAAGGAAAAGGCGCGAGGAGCTCTTGAGAGGCTGCGAAAGACAGAGAGAGAAAGGGGGGTGGGAAGGAGGGAGGGAGGGAGGGAGAAAGAGAGACGCTCAGTGAGGGTCAGATGAGCCTGGGGCAAAGAAGGGACCTGCTAGGCTTTCCCTCCAAGGCGGACACCACGGCGGACACCACGGCGGGCTCCCTCCCCCTCACAGGCGCTTTGCCCGCTTCGTGCCCCACAGGCTGGGGGCGCGCGCAGCGGCGCGGGCTGAGTCGGGGACATCGCGCCCCCCGCGAAAGCGAGCTTGCGGCCGCGGCGGCAATGCTGAGGAGGAGGAGGAGGAGGAAGAGGGTGAGACTGACACGAGAGAGCGGCGGCGCTGCATTCGGAGCCGGCGTCCTCTTTAACGCGGCGGTCGCTGCGCGCTCCCTTACCGAGCGCAGAAGCTTGCAGGGAAACGGAACGGGCCGCGGGCGCCCAGCTGCGCGCCTTCTCTCCCCCCCTCTCCACTCGTGTTTCTCACCCACTCCAGGGAAAGGAGAGCGTCGTGGGGAGGGGAGCGGCGGAGAAGGAGAGGGACTGGGTGGGGGAGGTGGGCGTCTCGTCGCCCCTCGCTCGTTCGCACACTCACACGGGCACGGCTACTCGCCGCCGCCGCCACTACGTCCTCCTCCTCCTCCTCCGCCACCTTCTTTTCCACTCGCTGATGATGATGATAAAGCGCCCTGAGCCGCTGCTCCAGCCCCACACCCAAGGGGCTGCCACCGGCCAAGTGACGTGAGTCTGACGCAAGGCGAGGGTACAATCTCCCCACCACCCGCAAAATAAATAAATAAATAAATAAATGCGAAATAAATAAATAACCAGCAGCCCTCAGTCCAAAACGGGGGCGGGGGGGGGAGGGAAGTGTAGGCAGCGAGATACCAACAGTCATGCCGGAATCTGGACACACACAGGAGCACTCCGCGCCCGCGCGCGTCATGACGAGCCAGAGAGCGCGTCGTACCTCGGCCAAATACCTCGCCACCTCCTTTTTAAAATTGTTATTATTATTATTATTACTGCTGTTGTTTGGTTTGCTTGTTTGTTTTTAACTCGCCAGCCTCTCTTTCTTGGTCCGCTGCACAAGTCCACCTGGTGTTAAAACCCGGCAGGAGCCTCCTTCTTGCCGCCCCACCTCCCTCTGCCGCCCCCCCCCCAAACGCCGTCAAGACGTGCTCTGAATCGAGGAACGAATTGACCTGTTTGAAACGGAGCTCGACCATCGATCGGCCTTGAAGGACAACAAGAAACGGGGACGTGGAGCTTTTTCCTTTTCCTCGGCCCATCTCGTCACCCAGCGATGCCGAGAGAGAGAGAGAGCCCGTGGAGAAAGCCAGCCCTCCTTTTCGACTCGGCTTTCTCTCACACACATCACGGGCGCACACGCACTCCCAGCCTCCTACTGCAGGTCCTTTTCATGCGGCCCGCGGGCCATTCCCACGTGAACTGTCAAGAGGCCGACGAAGCGTATCCGAGATCGGATAAACCGGGTCAGCGTTAGGGACCGGGGACGCGCAGCCTTTCGAAGGCGGGTGACGGTCCACGCAAGGGGCGGCAAAGCAACATACACACCTGGCAATAGGCTTGTTCAGCTCTGGCCATAGAAACACCTCCCGCGGTTACATGTCCGCGTGTCTAATAGACACGCGCGCTGGGGAGCCTGTAACGTGGAGAGCGATGAAGAAGAGGGTGAACGCGCTGGCTAATGAGGAAAACGATCCCCTCCTCTGGTCCTGAGATAATAAAACGTAATCGTTTTTAATATATTCGGGCACGGGTGATGGATGGCTGACATTAACACAAGTTGTCGCGGAATTTGTCTTTTCATTAGCGGCGGCGGCGGATGCTCCGTGGGTTGCCTCCCTCCTCCCACCCTTCCCCTCTTCTCTGCAGCAATTCGAAAAGGAGCTGAAAATCCACCGCAGTGCCTTCAGCCATCAGCGAGCTCTGGCGCCACCCCGTGCCTGGAACCGGGAGTGCATGTGACCGTGGAAAAAACAATCTCCGCTGTGCCTCCCGAGAAAGCTGCTTAGTGAGCGCCTTCTTTTGCTCCCTCTGGGGCTATTGATGGCGAGGAGAGGACGCAGCATCTTATGGCAGAGCAGCAGCGCCTCTTGCTCCCTCCCCTTTCCAGCCTGAATCATCAGCTGGCTGTTATTACCCCCCCTCCATTTATATCTAAGCACTGGCCTTCAAAAGATCATTCTCCTAGTACAAATCTGCCCTAGACATATTTTGGTGCAGCAATTTTCCCCTGTTAAGAGGAGAAGTAAAGAATTTAACAGGATGACTGCCTTGCATATTATCTTTACCTGAGGGTTGTCCACGGTCACTATTGTGAAATATTTAACAGAAAGAGTTTGGAAAATACAATAGATGCAGCAGAGAAATGCAAACATGGTATCTGTAGAAGCAGATTTTGATCCACAAAAGCTTACACTGAAATAAATCTATTAAGACATTAATCACCATCAGCACCACTGCCATCATCTTAGAACTTCAGAGCTGGAAAGGATCCTACGTATCATCAAGTCCAGCCCCTGTCAAGGAGGCAGAGTGGGCAATTTTTGTTGTCGATGCAGCAGAGAAATGCAAACATGGTATCTGTAGAAGCAGATTTTGATCCACAAAAGCTTACACTGAAATAAATCTATTAAGACATTAATCACCATCAGCACCACTGCCATCATCTTAGAACTTCAGAGCTGGAAAGGATCCTACGTATCATCAAGTCCAGCCCCTGTCAAGGAGGCAGAGTGGCCAATTTTTGTTGTCTAGTCGACTCTTCATGACCCCATGGACCAGAGCACGCCAGGCCCTCCTGTCTTCCACTGCCTCCTGGAGGTTGGTCAAATTCATGTTGGTAGCTTTGATGACACTGTCCAACCGCCTCGTCCTCTGTCGTCCCCTTCTCCTCTTGCCTTCACACTTTCCCAACATCAGGGTCTTTTCCAGGGAGTCTTCTCATCAGATGACCAAAGTATTGGAGCCTCAGCTTCAGGATCTGTCCTTCCAGTGACCACTCAGGGTTGATTTCCTTTAAAATGGATAGGTTTGTTCTCCTTGCAGTCCAGGGGACTCTCAAGAGCCTCCTCCAGCACCACAATTTGAAGGCATCAATTCTTTGGCGGTCATCCTTCTTTATGGTCCAGCTCTCACTTCCATACATCAGAATTAGAATAACCATAGCTTTGACTATGCAGCCCTTTGTCTCTGTTTTTTAAGATGCTGTCTAGGTTTGTTATTGCTTTCCTCACAAGAAGCAGGCATCTTTTAATTTCGTGGCTGCTGTCCCCATCTGCATAGATCAGGGAGCCCAAGAAGATAAAATCTGTCACTGCCTCCATATCTTCCCCTTCTATTTGCCAGGAGGTGATGGGACCAGTGGCTATGATCTTAGTTTTTTTTTGATGTTGAGTTTCAGACCATTTTTGGCGCTCTCCTCTTTCACCTTCTTTAAGAGGTTCTTTAATTCCTCCTCACTTTCTGCTATCAGAGTGGTGTCATCTGCATATTGGAGGTTGTTGATATTTTTTCCGGCAATCTTAATTCTGGCTTGCGATTCATCCAGTCCAGCCTTTCACATGATGTATTTTGCATATAAGTTAAATAAGCAAGGAGACAATATACAGTCTTGTCGTACTCCTTTCCCAATCTTGAACCAATCAGTTGCTCTATATCTAGTTCTAACTGTTCCTTCTCCTTTCTCAGGAGATAGATAAGGTGGTCAGGCACTCCCATTTATTTAAGAACTTGTTGTAGTTTGTTGTGATCGACAAAATGTGGGGAATAGTGCTACAATATTTTGCTTTTCTTTTGCCAACATCAGGATTTTTTTACAACTGTTAAACCACTACTGCAGTGGTTTCCAAACTGTGTTCAACACCAAACCCAGCCAGTGATTTCCCACTGGATGTACTATCAGGCGGTGTTTCCCCCCCCTTCTCCCACCCCCCAAGTTTGAGAACTGCTGCACTATTGCACTACAATTGAACTCCCACATAAAAAATGTCCTGGAATTTCAACAGCTACTTTAGACAGACTTGAGAGTTTGTGTATATACATAGTGTGTATATACATATACATACTTTGCCCCCCCCGCAATATTTTTTAAAAAATTGTTTCTGAAACAGCATTCTAGAAGAATTTGTGGGGAAAATCTGTGCCCCTGAGCAAACATTTAAGATTCTGTGATCTCAAAGGAAAGAAATAGTTCTTATTTGACATGATGATGGGCCATCAAAAAATTCCATGCTTTGCACCATTATTCTTCACCATGCACATAGACACAACTAGGACCTATTCCCTTGCCTTTGCTGCTGAATCTGACAGTGACCCCAAAAAAGGGAAAAATTTATAATAATTATTTGCTGTCAAGTTAGTTCTGACTTATGACAACCCATTCCAGGGTTTTCTAGGCATGGAGTTCTCAAAAGTGGTTTATCATTCCCTTCTCCTGGGAGTGCACTGCAATTCTGCAGCTTGCCCAAAGCTACATAGGTTGGCTGTCCTCTCAGAAACCCCCAACCTCTGACACTGCAGCC